AAATGGACTGGATTTCTGAGCAATTCCTCACATTAGAATTGCCAATATTTATTAGGCTGGCTAATAAATAATGCAGCGTCTTAAGTTGCAGGGCAACTTTCAGCTCCCTCTTTTCCCAGAAGTGTTGCTTTTATTTGAAAAGGACATAAGACTAAGACAAAGGAGAAAAAAAAAATCCTTTGATTTAAAAATATTGCTAAAAGTAGTATAAAGAGCAATAAATGCTGCCTGACTAATGTAGATTGTGGGTTGGATTCAATTTTCTGAGTTTAAGGATCCCTGGAGAGCAACAGATTTCGATTTCAAGATCTATATATATAGAGATCCATATATATATATATATATATATATATATAAATAAATAAATAATTGTGAAGGAAGCAGCCTTGGATTTCAAGTAACTTTGCTGGTAACAAACAACACACATCCCTCAGATAACTTCACCCTTTTGTGGAAGTTGTGGGAACTCTGCACTGAGGAAGGCATCACATAAATCTGACTTACACGAGCTGAGATGTCAGGGGAAACATCTGCTGTGTTGTGACAGGAGGATGCTATTCCTGGAACAGCTCATTATTCCCTCTCTGGGTTGCTCCCCCTGCTTCCTCAGTTCTGTGGTCAACCCTCTTCCACTTGGTGTGGTCCTGTCCTGCAATGGTTCAGCAACACCTGGCACTGTTTGTGCACCAGGGAAAGAGGCAGGAGAAACAGGAACCATTTGTTCACTCTGTTAGAAGGGCCATTAGCATTCAAAACTTCCTTAGATTCCTCCAAATCTATACCCAAATACAATTTATACACTTCTCTACCAATCCATTGGAGTCTATGATCTTCCCTCACAACAACAACAAAAAAAATTCTTTCAATGGGAGTGAAAATGCATCTCAATAATACACATAATTATGCACAATGATTGCACAATGCCTTCACAAAGGAATAACAATGACACTTATTCCTATTCACTGCTTAAGAGCCCCTAAACAGCAGGAAAAGGGGCTACCATTAAAGAAAACAGCACAATAACAAACCCACATCTATGATGGCAGGAGCTGACTTAGTCCCTCCATGGTGCTCCTCACTATTTGATACCCTTATTAATTCCCTTCTAATCTGAAGATCAGAGAAATTGGATGAATTTTTTCTCCTAAAAAACCCATTCTCTTCAACTTCCAGAAAAAACATCTTTATATGATCACTATAATAAACTAAAAGAAGCCCAAAAACAACCTGCAAGAAGTCATTGAATAGACAAAGCAAAATATATTTGTAATGCTTTTCTTTTTCTCCTCATTTTGTCTCAGACACACTATAACCTTGCCTACATCTGCCCTTCATCCATCTATTTCTCCATATGCAACTCAAGCCATAGAACTGTAAGTACTTTCCTCATAGGTGTTTTTAATTTGTTTGTAAAGTAATTTGAGATCCACTGACAGAAGGTACTAAAGGAAAAAAAAATGAAATATTTTGCACAGCAGGCAGAGAAAAGGAAAGGCATTTCTGCCTCCCCCATACCCCACAGCAGGTAACAGGGAGTTAGGAACATTATGGCACTCCAGGAAACCTTCCTGACCCATCAGGTTATTGCCCTGATGCTCTGCCATAAACTCTGCAGCTCTCATAAAGCCTCTGCACTCCCAGCTCTGAAGTGGGACATTTTCAAGTCAAGATGCATCTCAGAAACATTCTCTCCATCAGCCACTTCCTCCTCCTGAAGGGAAAATGCAGCAGAACATCCTGAGTGACCTTGAGCCCCCTGCTAATGGTGCTGAGCTGCTGCTGAATGGGGCATTTGCAACAGGAGAATGGCACTGCACATCACAGCCAGCACAGCCCCATCAGGGGCAGAATAAACTGAAATAAAACACAGATGGAACAGCCAGAGCTGAAGGATAAAACATCCCCAGCATGGGGGAAACAAGCTGAGACAAAATCATCCAGCACAGAAAGGCCAATGTAAGTTAACTTCCAGTTTGCAGTGTCAGGTGGAAATGTCACACAAAGGATGTCAGAGGCGTTTTGGTTTCACAGCATTGCCATGAATTAATCTGATGATATGACAATTGCAGAGTAAAACAAAGAATGTCTTTTGTGCTCTATTCAGATCTCAAAGACAGAGCAGGAATGGGAGAAATCTTATTTAGTTTCTTTTTCTACTTATATTTTTGGAGATTACTGTTTGAAGCAAGTCCATATAAACATATTAAAAAAAAAAAAGAGTACTGCTCCGACCAAGTAAAGATAGGAACTGATATTAAATAAAAAACACAAGGAACATTTATAAAACATAATTTTATCAAAAACAAGGCAGGTTTTTAATGGGAGATGATGGAGCTGTGTAAGGGCAACACCAACAAAACGGCTGCATGCATTAGAAGCCTTCTAGAGACAGACAGTGGTGTGGTTATATCAAATGGAAGGATTTCAAAGGAATCCTCTCCCTCCTGGCAAAATGGCCAATATCCTTATTAACTGCTTTCCACCAGAACCATTTTATTTGTGCCCAACACACAGAGTTATAGCAGAAAACATGGGCAAAAGGAAAAACAACCTGACCATCTGCCATCAGCCTTGCAATAGCAGAACATCACACAGGCCTTGGAATCATGGCTCAAATTGCCAAACATCACATGGCCAGCTGCAGATATCCATGGATTTTGTACAAAAATCACACATGGAATGTTTTTAACAGGATTTTTCCTGTGACAATTTAAGGGTCACTTTTCTACATTTGTTTATTTGAGAAGCAAAGCTGAGATCACACGAGCCATTAAACATCCAATATTGTGATGTTCAGGATGGTGATGGGAGACCAAAACAAGAAAGCCGGGAGTGTCAAATGCAGAAAAAAAAATATTCATTAAGTAGGAAATGAGTTGTACATGCACTTATGGGTCTTCTGCAGGGAGAGGTAAAGGCAATTAAGTAATTAATAATTATCCAGACCAGAGAGAGCAGAATGTGCATTGCTTATCACCTGGTATTCTCAAACCTGGGAGCTTTTAGACTTGCAGGAAATAAATAAAAATCTTACATGGAAAGGTCAGTTGGAAGACAATGAAAGGAGAGGCAGATCACAGTGATGAAGTGGTTACGATAATTAACTGCTATTTTGGAATTTACGGAATAATAGATTTCACAATAATAAGTACAGTTATTAAATTTGAGTTTGCCTGCAGGCAATGCTTTAGTCATGGTTACATAAATTTCTACTTCAGAAGTCACAGATTAGAAAACTTCAGAAAAAAAGGAAGACAAGAAAAGGCACCTTGCAGGTTTCTATTTTGTGGTTAAATGGGAAAATTTCCCATTAATTACTAATGATATAGTTCATTAATAGTATATTCCATTATGGAAGTGCAAATTGTTAGATACTAATGATGCATGCCCTAATTGCAATAGTTTGTCTTGATTTCAAGTTCAATGAAATAAAAATATTTATTTACAATGTTTCAGGTTTATGAATTATGTTACATTCTTAATTGATGCTTTCAACAAACGTGAAACACTTCATTAGTATTAACCAAGACTGATGGATCTGTGTTTGATGATCACTGGTAACTCCCTCCCTGGACTGGAAACAATTGCCTCTCAAACTTGGTGGAAGCTTCAATTTTGGGACCAAACACAGAGAAAAGATGAAACAGATTGTGCAACAAGAGGTGCTTATCACATTCCTGCTCTTTCAAAATAAAATGCTCAAACAAAACAACAAAAGGAAGAAGAAAAATCCAGAGTTTTTCAAGACAATCCTTTCTGCTGATTGCAAAAGCTGGATGTCCTGAGTCACTGAAGGTGGAAACCAGCCCAGCTCAGTCCCTTTGAGCCACAAGAGAAGGGCTCAGACACACATCTCCTGAAATTCCTCCTGAGGTACAAACCATGCATCAAAAACCAGGAAAAAACCCACAGTTCACTGGCAGCAGGCTGGGCTCTGCTAGATTGAAGTTGCAATACCAGGAATAAGAAATACAACACTTTAATAAATTATTGTTCAAAGCTTGTCAGGCTCCTGACACCTTTCCCCATAATTCACACTACAGAAAGAACTTCTGGCTTGGGCAGTTTTAGTAGTTGCTACCAACACTAAAAAAAAGTCAAAACTTGCGGTTTAGAAGTAAGGCCCCAGCCTGGATTTTAGCAGACTTTAAAGCAACATGAAAATAAATGGAAGCACCTGGAGAGTTTGATGCAAGCTGATGCTCAGAACCTGCAGCTTCAGTGGGACAGAGCAAGTACCAGCTGGACTTTAAATCACATGTCATGTGCTCAAAACTTCCACAAACTCAGTTACTATTCCACACACAAATACCCTGCACAGATCCAGATTTTCAAATTTCAGTAGCAACAGATTTTCAAGCAAAACACATTTATCTCTTGAAAATTGCATTGATTTATTTCTGACAATTACACATATTTTTTTAAGCTGAAGGTTTCTTTGTGAAGCCTTTGTTTCTTGGTTAGTTTTTACCATGAGTAAGGTGAAGAACAGAACTGAAAACATATTTGTATCTGGTTTATATTTGTCCACAGAAAATAAAACTGGAAACATTTGTTTTAATAAACCCTTTAAAATGGAAAAAAAAGGTTTCAAAGGTACTACTAATAAAGAAAGAAAAAGCAATCACCTTGCTGTGTTACAAATATTTAACACGGTATGCCAACTTTATCATAATAGACTCACAATAACTTTGTTAACAATGTAAATTAAGAATAGGAAGTGCAACTGCCTTGTAAACTTTTTTTTGTAGCACAAAGAGATTAGTACTATAATTTACTTCTGCTTCTTCTAAAACAGTTATTCAAATTTTAACAAGTATATTCAATAGAGTAAGACTGATTTCTCCCCATTGAAGTTAAAATACAACATGAACACTTACACACGCTAAGAACCATAAAATAATTTCACATGGTTTAATAAAAAAACCCCTGAACAACAACCAGAGAAAATCCCAGCCACTAGAGCTGCCTGAAAAATCACATTAAAACAAGGCACTTACTTTTCTGTCCTCAGTTTCTACACCAGAACTGCACTCTGCTTTAGTGTCCTGCAAGCACAAACAGAGAAGCCCATGTCACAAACACATTGAGCAGCACTGGGGAGTAACTCAGCCTGAAGAACTGTTATTTTTGTACAGAGTTATTAAATATACAATGTCTAGTATTGTGCCTTTAGCTGAAGTTCATTAAACTTTACTACAGGCATTAATTTAAAGACAGGATTGAAAAAACACACAAAAATAAATACAAACACCCCAAACCTATTTCAATATAGCATAGCCAGCTCTCAGGAGAAAATATGATTTGTTAGTATACATTTTCTTTTTTGTTTCCGTCTTGAGGAAAATACATTCCTTACACGTTTTTATTTTTTTTAATAAATTATGGAAGCTGAAAGAAACATAAAGGTAAGCTAAAGAGGAAAAACTGCTCAAGCTTCTATCTGTTGTTCAGTGCTAGCTAGATAGAGATTTGTGTCTGAATCTCATTGCAATGTGCAAGAACAGCAAAGCCTCTGTTTATGATAAACATGTAAATGTGTGTGCGCACAGACTGGTGCACTTGCGGGTATCTTGGACTATTTCTTCAGGGGTGAAACAAATTATCTCAAACCTAAGGACACCCAACACATGATCCTTTTATTCCTAAAGTATTTTGACACATTGAACCTATGGATTTTTATGCTGAAGACCTGCAGGGATAATTGTTTCCACAAATATTACACTCCAAAAGGCATTTATTGCTTCAGTCACCCTTTTTATAGCAAGTTACTAGTGGAAACTGAGTAAGCCAAACATAATTCAAGTCACTAAACCCTTGTAGATAAGTGTCCTACTAATTTTCTTCTCAAATTTTCTTTTCTAGTGAGGATATTCTTGGAAGCAAATTTTGCTTAACTATTGCAGCTTTAGAGATTTCTATTGGGAAAAGAATAACATATGGCTCACGGACAATTTTTTGGGAAAAGTACTTCCCTAATCTCTCACCAAAGCTGGAACTACTCTAAGAAGATTTCAAATTATTGGTGAGTTACTTGCACATAAATTCAAATGCTGATAGCAAATAGCAGCTTCTATTAAAAATGAAAATGACTGTAAAATAAAGAATTTATGTTTCTTCTACAGCATGTCTATTCATCTTAAATTAAGGACTGGTTTTACTTCAAAGCCAAAGACTTTCTACCTAAGCCTATGAAAGTTCTCAAAAAATTAAATAATTCAACCAAGTAAGATAAAGCAACGTTTCCTGAAAAAAATACTTTAATTCACAGCAAATTATACTAAAGATGGTTTCAAAAGGCATATCAAGTTGTATCACTTCTTAGGAAGCAAAAAAACATCTGTTATTCTAGCCAATCTAATACATGAATCAGCACCTCTAATACTCTTTATATTCCATCACTTTTCATGGGGAGCCAGATTGCAGTTTGGGGAATAAAACACTCAAAAATCTTCTTTCAAGTGTTTCTTACTGGCAGCCAGGCAGTCTCTCCCCACATTTCCCACGTGGAGGAGAAGGAAATTCTCTCTCTGCCTACAGGCTCACTTCCCGAGCCTGTGTGGCTATTTACACCTGCTTCTTCTTGGGAAGGGAATAAAAGCTCAGATTTTTCAAAAGCTCACTTCCTGAGCCTGTTTGGATATTTACACCTGCTTCATTTTGGGGAGGGGAAAAAACCTCAGATTTTCAAAAGCCTTCTCCCTCATGGGAATGAATTCAAACTCCTTTAGCACCAGTGGTTTTCATGTCCTAGCTGTGCCCTAAGTCACCTTTTGGAAAGAGTGAAATGTTCTTTAACATATTTATTGGTTAACCAAAAATGAATCATCTCTTTCCATATCACCAAGGACAAGAGTGGCTCTGTCTCACACACTGACCTAAATTAACTGAAAGCAGAATAAAGCAGCTCCTCTCAGACTGTAGTCATGGCTATTACAGGCTCTCAGCATGATGGATATACCTGAAGACCCAACAGCACTCTGGTTCTGCCTGCTGCCCATGGAACAGTGAATTTTGCTATTTTACCACTCTCCTTTCCCATTAAAAGCAAATTCTAAGAGGCCCAAGTTCACAAGCATTCATTACTCAATTAAAAATGCAGTTTTACCTGGATGAAGCAAAACTCAGCTTCCTCCCAGCTCAGCTTATCTGGTGTGGTTGTCTGGAGCAGCAAAGAGAGGCAGCAGAGCAGCCTCAGCCTCAAAAAGGTGGGGCCAGCCCAGCTGAGGCTGCTCTGCTCAATCAGGAGTTAATGAGATAACGAGATACACCTGGAGCTGGGACAGCACCTGGAACCCAGACCCCAAATGGAAACGAGACCTCAAATTGAACACAGACCGCACCTGGAACCCAGACCTCAAATGGAACACAGGCCTCAAATGGAACTGAGATCAGTCCCAGAAAAAGATTCAGGCTGAATGGCAAATTTCAGCATTTCTGCTCAGTGTTTTATCCCTGAACATTACACAAGCATTTCTTCCCTTAGAGTTTGGCTATGTATCTAAAGATATGGAAAGTGGATTTTTACAAATTAGCCACTGCATCTTTAGCAATGAAAGCCACATCTGCATGGGTTCAGTCTCACTGCACGAACGTGTTATCTTTGAAATTATACAGTCAGATTTAAAAGAAATAGCTGTATGTTTTCAAGGCTAAACACCTGGATTCAGACTTCAGCACAAGGGCAAGCTAAAAACCAGTTAATTTTCTGAAGGAATTAGTGTTGTAATTCTTTAAACCAATGAGGCTACTGACTTAATCAAGTCTATGTTTAAATATAAATATTTGAGTATATGTCTGCATCCTAGATATACTTCTTTTAAAGAAAAAAATGTACACAGAACTTAAGCTTTAAAAATCATCAAAATGAATCATCTGTCAATCTCAGAGCAAGAAGGGGAGAAATGAGAATGTTCCTCTCTGGGAGACATCTGTGCTACTTTCTCTAAGTGCAAAATGACAAAGTGCTGTCACTTCCTATGTGTATTGCAAATTTCCCAGCTCTATGAATTATTTGAGATGGAGAAGCACCATTGCTGAAAAGAATTTGTAAAAGCCTAGAGATCTGAACAATGGATCAGCACTTTCGTTAGTGTTGTAAACACTTTAGTATGTAAAAAATAAAATAAAAAAACTCAGAAAATATGTTCATTTTGAAGAATTAGTTTAGGTATTTTATATAATGATAGAAAGCCTCACAGAATGGAAGTATTCTATTGAAGTTTCATGGGAAAGACACAATTAAATAGAAAACTGTCTATAGAAATAAAAATCCACTTCAGTTTAAAACCAACACAATTCCTTTTTTCTCTAGGTGTCACTGCTTAATAGCCAATTAAATAACATCATTGTAAACATATTAAGAGCTCTATGTTTTATATAAACTGCCTTTATGGTTTATTTTGTTTGGTGGCTGCAAGAGGGATACAGAGCAAGGTTTTCTACAGGATACTGGGAGCAATGCAGGACAAACATAAGTTTAAGGGCTGGGATTTTTCAAGTTTACCACATTGAGGAACAAATTAACCACTTCATCAGCAGTCATATAAAAATGTTACTGAACAAATCTACCACCAGTAGAACAAATCTACCACCTTCATCAGCAGTAATAGAAAGATGTTACTGAACAAATCTACCACCTTCATCAACAGTAGCACTATAAAAATGTTACTGGACAGAGGGAAGTGAAAGCTCTAGAAAGCAAAAGTAGTTCTTGGTCCTGAATGGGACTTTGGATTTAGGATGCAGTAGAAACTTGCAGATACTTTACATATTTTATGTAATTGTACATTTAATTTTGCTCCTGGAATTGCAATCAGGAACAGTGAAATCCCTATCCTGAAGCATCCATTGGTGCTGCTAACACCCCATACCCTGAGCTTTATCACACACTGCAGTTTGCTCTCTCCCTGCCATCCCAACCCTAATTCCTTCCCCTGCTCCCCTGCCATCCCAATACAAGCTGCCAAAAACCTCCCAAATAACCACAAGAGAGCAGAAACTTTATGAAAATGGTCTGAATTTCCAGCATGTTTCCTTTCCTCATGTGAACACAAGGCACAGGGAAAGGCAAAGCGAATTCCTGAGCACACAGTGCCCTCCCAGAGCCCAGGGGAGGAAGGATGAGCCCCTGCAGTTCCAACCAGCCCAGCGTTCCCCCGGCTGGGTTCTTCTGTAATATCAAGGATGAGCAGTAGGTGGAAGCAAATAACCTTGTAAAATCCTGTTCAGCCTCCCGTGAAAGATAAACCGATTGCTGCTCAGGTGTTTTACACGTGTCCTTGGCATCTCAACAAATAATGTCTTTTTCTTCACAATACTGGCTTCCAGTTTCATGAAACAGCCAGTAGCTTAAAGGTGAATTGCATTTTTTGAAGCTTCTTTTATTTTTTTTAATTTTTTTTTTTTAATTTGTATAGCTGAAATGGACTCCTTTTAATGACTAAAGCATTTAAAAAGGTAACATGACCTTACACAAAATAAAAAATATATACATATATATATAATTAAATATATATTAATTATATATATGTATATCTATTTCATAATGTATATATAAATATAACTTTATGTGTATATATAATTATTTATATATGTTTAATATATTAATATATGTATATATAATTATATATATATATACATATATTTTATTTATATATATGTGTATGTATGTACACATATATATAATTAAAAAGTACACTGACAAATTCCAGGTCATTGGTCCTTCTGGATATTTTTATTGACTGCTAAATATCACAAACCCCTGAGTTATTGAGAAAAAATACTTAATGCATTTCTCTATCCATTGGCTATTATGTTTTATTAGTGCTGCTAACAAACAGGCTGCCAGCAGAAGAATTCATTTGAATTTCATATTAGTTCTATTTCATCCATCCCAGAGAACAAATTAACCACACAGTAATACTTATTGAAGAAGAAAATAAATGAAAATGAAACCTTAGAATGTGACATTCAAGTCTTCACTAAGTTTGTCCCCAGCAAGTCAGGCAGAAGCCTCATCAAATTAACAAACCAATTCAAGGATTTG